CACCGACACAGTGGACATGGGTTTGGGTAAACTCTGGAAGTTGGTGATGGACAGGGAGGTCTGGCGTGCTGCGGTCCATGGGGTCGCAAAGAATCAGACACGACTGAGCAACGGAACTGAACTGAACTGATGTGTAACTTAAAACATTTGCTGAAAGTTATGGAAACATGAACTTGGCAGTAATACTCCATCTCAAGAGAATAAACTGTTTTGTTTCAGGTGTTTTAAAAGCTTAAAGTATAAATTAGAGCACAATGAAATTGCCAATCAAAAATTATGTTATACCCTCAATGGATGGATATGTTGCTTCTATTGGGTTTTATGGCTACTTCTTCATAATCTGTGAGTTTGGGAAAAATCGAATTTGAAAGTCAGAGAACATCTCTTGAAGATACTCAAGCCCATAGTGTATACATTCAAGAAAGTGCAGTAGATATAGCTGCATACTCAATAGAAGCTGGTAGAAAGTCCATTTTCCCTGCCCCACACTGAGAAAGAGCATGCTTGTGTGTGTGTGTATTTGACATACTTTTTAAATATCTGAACTGCAAACACAGGAAAACAATAGCTCACCTAGCCTTGCTAGGTGCATATGAGAGGCAAGTTGGGTCCATAAGTAAAAATCCTCCAAAAAAAAAAAAAGAAAAACGAAAAACCACACAGACACACACATACCACTGATTTCAAAGATTCTTCTGAGACTCAGTATGGCTTGGGACAGGCCATCGAAAAACATGGTTTTGAAATGGGCCCTGAGGTTTACACTGATGGACCCAAAGTCTGGCTGGTGATTCTTTAGACTACTCAGAGTTGCCATGGCCCCACAGGACCACAGAGACCCCTTCTGGGCAGGCAAGCAGACCACACTGTAGCCCAGGAAATATCCCCCTTTTTTGAAAATAGACTTAGTGTCTCTGAGAATTAATGTTTGTCCTTGAGAATAGAACAGTGTGTATGTATAAGCGCACACGTGTGTGTGTGTTTAAGAGTTGCCTCTTGGACAACTGCTCACTGGCAGGGGTCACCAAAGTCCCCCTCGCCCAGTGACCTGCTGAGCAATCCCCACAGAGTGCATTCATTCTACAAATTCATCCACTAGTATTTACACACAGTCACAGACCCTGTTCTAGGCTCTGGGGGACACAGCAGTGAATAAGGCAGACACTGCTTCCCTTCTCTTGGGGGGTCTTGCCTCCTAGCAGGAGAGAAAGGCAATGTACACGTGCATAGACTCGGGGGCAATAAGGGCTACGCAGAAAATAAAACAGGAAATGAGATGGAGTGTGAATGCAGGAGGGAGACTTATTGGACTGGCTGTCTTCTTCTCAAAGGGCAGACACCCGAGTGAAGTGAGGGAGACAGCCACGTGAAGGTCTGGGAAGAGTGATCGAGGCAGAAGGATAGCAGGTTCATAAGCCTAGCAGTGCGAACTTCTTGGCATGTTTGAGGAACAAGAAAAAAATTGCATGTTGCATACATAACTTCAAATAACCATCCCAAAGACCCTAAGAAATAAGCACTAGTATTATCCCCATTTTACAGATGAAGAAGCTGAGGTTTAGAGAGGTTAAGTAACTTGCCCAAGATCATCATCCAGCCAGCAAATGGCAGAGCTAGGCAAGGAACTGGGGTATCTGGCTGCAGAGTCCAGGCGCTTCAGAATTTGAATGGATATGAGAGGCAAGTGCCAGGTATTACCTGGAAGAGCTATGGGGTGGGAGTGGTGAGTAGGGGTGGAAGATAGAACCCAGGACAAAACCAACCTTTGAGGATAAAGGGTGCTTTCTCTTCCTCTTGGAAAGACTTGTAGAAGAGAGTCTTTCATAAGAGGGTGTATCAGATAGCAGGAAAGGACAAGCTGTGCCTAGGGGTCTCCAATGAAGGGTATTTGTGTGTGTGTGTTTTCTCTTGTATGACTATGGGGACAGTCACAATGAGTGTGTCATTTTAAATTCCTCCCCGCTTGGACATGAGTCTTAACAACCTGGCTCCTTTGTGGAGTTTGAGGGTTTGTGCAGCTCCGTGGGGTACTGGCATGGGTGAGTGGACCGGACACCCAGTGCCAAGTACAGCCCTGACCTGTAGGAGATGCTGACCACTTGTCAAATGAAGAAATGGTGCCCTGGTCTCACCCACATGCATTTGACATTCTGACTGCAAGTGATTTGATTTCTGGGAAAATACATAAGACACAGCTTCCATATCTTCTTAGGCTGGAGATTCAAGGTGGGTGCTATTTTTATTTTTAGGGGAAAATGAAGAAGAGATCATGACCAGAAGAAATATCCTCTCCACCCCACCTTACGGAGGCATCTTATTCTTTTATCTACCTGGGGCAGAAATTCCAGAAATGACTTTTCCGGGGGGGGGGGGGTCTCAATACCATTTCTCTCCTCTGCTCTTCTGGGAAAGCTCTCTTCAGATACCATACCTAAGCTATTTGCCAAACAGTGGATGGGGGCTGCAGGATCCCATCTCCTGGGGACGCGAAGATGGAAGCAGGCACCTGCCCAACAGAGCACAGGTGAGGATTCTGGGTCCCAGCGCGGTGGGCACTGAGAAAGCCTGTGGCCTGGACCTGGCCCCTCCCTGGACCAGCGTGTCCACGGGGTCTAGTTTGGAACTGTCAGCCCTGCTGGTTGCTGCTGCTCCTCTACGGAGCCCCTGTGCTAGGATCCGAACTGGGCCAGCAAGGGGTGGGGGTAATACCTACAGCACTCATTCATTCATCCATCCACTCACTCACTCCCTTATCCATCCTTTCACCAATGCTTATTTGAACACTTACCAAGTTCTAATCACTCTTCGAGTAGTGAGGGCATTAGAAGAGGAGGATGAAGATTGTTCCCCCACATCCTCTTCTCACAAGATACCTCCTCCTTCTCCCGTGCAGCTGAGACTCTTGAGAGGTCAGGCATTGACCAAATAATCACACACATCGTTGAAAGGACCAGGAGCTAAGAGAGCAGGTAAGGAGGCCACTGGCAGGGGCAGGGCTGGCAATGGGCGAGGGGGTGACAGCAGACAGCTCCCGGGAGAAGTGACATTTGAGCTGACCTCAGTAGAGTGGGTGGGAGTTCAAGGTGAAGAGGGTTGAGGGGAAAAGCGTTCAGGCAGAGACAAGAGACGGGGCAGAGGTGGTGCAGAGATCAGAGGAGGGAGGAGAGACAGGAGGGGCCTGACCCTGCAGGACTTTGTAGAATTTGTTGGGAGTTTTGTCTTTCCCAGAGGACACTGAAAATCTAGCACTGGGTAATGGAAAGCGATGTGATTCAGTTTCTATGTTCCAAAGTCCCACTGGCTATTGTGTGGAAAGCCAGAGTGGATAAAGGAAGAACAATTAAGAGGCTCCTGGAGAAATCCACACAAGAGGTGTTGGCCTTGGAAAGATGTAGCATGGACAGAGTGGAGAAATGGTTAGGACCCAAGTCAGCAAGACAGCTCTGTGACCAGAGCAGAAATGTGCTTTCTACGCAGCCGCTCCCATCCAGGACAATCGTAAGACTCCACAGACCTGAGACACTTGTCCTTGGAGGCCCTACCCTATATTCATATAAAATATCCACACCCCATGTCAAACATGGGTTTGTAGTGGGGTTTTTTTTTGCAATTTTAACTGAAAATATTTTAATCATTTTGCCTTTCAAATTATCTAGCCCATGAAAACTATTGCATTTAGAATGGATAAACTACAAGGTCCTAAGGTATAGCACAAGGAACTATATTGTGGACTTAAAAATTATTCACCTAGAAATTGAGAGTTATGTTTTATTCAGTGGAAATTTTTAGGACTTCAGAGAGCTGCTCCAAAGAGGCAAGCAGAGGAGCCAGGTTATACAGAAGTTTTGCAAGAAAGGGCATGTAGTGTAAACATTAAAAGATTATTAATTAAAGAAAACCAGATATCCCAAGTTAAGGAACTGAGTGCTTTGCTATATATGGGAAGCAAATATATATATGGGAAAGCATATATATATGAGCTCACTGAAATCATTCCTTTGATATGCACCCCAGCTCTCTGGGGCCAGTATCCTGTGTTTTCACATCCTGAGTTCCCTCAAAGCTCACTGGCTCACCATCCATGAGGGCTGCAATCCCTGATAACTATGACCTCCTTTGTTTACTGATATGGCAGGAAATATTCCATTTCTCAATACTCAATATCCTGTGACAAACCATAATGGAATAGAATATGAAAGAATGTATACATGTATAACCAAGTCACTTTGCTGAGAGAGAGATTGGCACACATTGTAAGTGAACTATATTACAATTTTTTTAAAAGTGAAAGAAAAAGTACCTGTAAAATCAATACATTGAATTTGCAATTTGTTTCTTGGCGATCATCAGGCAAACCCCAAAATCCTAGCCAAGTGAGAAAATCAAACCTACAAATTATTTCCAAATATAATCAAAATCTTTAAACGTTACACTGGATAGTAAATTAGATCGACACCTTCACACAGGCCATATTTGACCTACGACCTGACCTTTGCTGAGGGCAGATTTTCGCATTTCTTTTATTCTGGGTGTGACTATAGTGTTGATTTATTCAACATACACAATTTTGAGAATGCTGCCTGGGCATTTTTTCACTTAAAAAGAATAGATTTATTGGGGTATCATTTAAATCCAGTAAACTTTGTTCTTTTTATGTGCACAATTCTATGGGTTTGACAACTATATGGAGTTGTGTGTGGCTACAATCAGGATATGAAGCATCTTCCTCCCCCACCAGAAGCTCCCTGGAGCCCCTTCTGCATTGAACCCTCCCCCTCCCCCAGTCCCTGGCAACCCGTGGTGTGATGTGTGTCTCCCGGGTCTTGCCTGGTCTAGGTGCTGTGATGGAATCGCAGAGCGTGGAGCCTTTGGGGCCTGACTTCTCTCATACCCACATGCGCACGTTGTGCACATGTCATTGGTCTGTTGCTTTTTGCTGCTAAGTAGCATTTCCTCGTGTGAAGAACGACCATGAACTTGTTTATTTCTTATAAATTTATTTATAGAAACGTATCCTCTCGCAATTCTGGAGGCCAGGCCCATGCCCCCTCCTCATCCCTGGGGCCTTTGTTTATCTCCTCCAGCTTCTGGAGGCGCCAGGGGGTCCCATGGAATGTAGCTGCATCACTGCAGTCTGCCTCCATCCTCCCATGGCCTCCTCCTCTTTCCTTCTTGTCCTTGGATCTGGGACCCACTTGACCATCCAGCGTGAATACATCTGGCGGTGGTACAGTCGCGAAGTAGTATTCGACTCTTTGAGACCCCTTGGACTGTAGCCCTCCTGGCTCCTCTGTTGCTGGGATTCTCCAGGCAAGAACACTGGAGTGGGTTGCCATTTCCTTCTCCAGGGGATCTTCCCCACCAGAGATTGAACTTGGGTCTGCAGCATTGCAGGCGGAGTCTTTACCAACCGAGCCACCAGCAAATTACATCTGCAAAGATTCTTTTTCCAAAAAAGGACACCTTCACAGTTTTAAGGAGCAACACAAAGATATGACCTCCGGGGGCCGCCATTTAACCTATTACATAAGGATAGACCATAGCTTGTCCTCTTCTCTCACCATCTGATGGGCATTTGTGGTTTCCGGTGTGAGGAGGATATTAACACCCCCACTTTGAACACCCACAGATCTTAGCACAGACCCACGCTCTCTTTTCTCCTGGCTGCAGGACGAGAGCGTCACTCCTCTACCTGGTAACACAGGACGTGCTTCAGAGCACTGTAGTGGCCTGCCTCCCTCCGTCCATCTCTGGCCGCTGTGCCTGGGGACCTGAGCATACCCCACCCCCACCCCAAGTCTGGTCTTGCCTGCAGTTCCAGATGAGTTCGGGTCCAGGCCCTAGTACCCTGCCCTTGGTGAGTCAAGAATCTTTAGATAAATGGACCTTGGAGAGGAAGAGCCCCAGCAGGGCCAGGGACTGAATCTCATTTCCCCGGGCTTGCTTCCTGGAGCAGCAGCCTCCGGCCTCAGACAAGGCAGTTTCTCTTCCTGTCACTGTCCGTCTTAGCTCCGGAAGCCAGACACACAGGGTCCTGCGGCGCTGCATGCCTCGGCCACCCACCCAGGACCATGACGCGCCGGCCCAGACAGGCTGACCAGGACCCGCTGAGAGGCAATTTTATCATCAACCTGTAACTTCGTTATCTCCAGTAATAAATGAACAGTCGATATTGCTAATCCCCTCGGACTCCCCCACCGAGCCTGGCTTCTGTTCAGCTACACATGTCCTCCCGTGGGTTCAAAGGAGCCTTTTGTTTAACATCAACATTTGCTTCTGAACCCTTTTCATGTATTGATTTGTCACTGTTTGCGCCTGCCTGTCCTTGCCCAGTGTGGGAACACCCGGAGGAGAGGCCCTTTGGTTCTTTCCGCCCCGTGAGATCCCACACACCTGGGTGACCCTCACTACCTGCTTCTCTCTCGCTGACTAGGACACCTTCAAGCTCCCTGAGATGAAAGGCAGTGAACTCGCTTACAAAAAGGGCTTGCTGGTGACCTCACCTGCTCCCCAGGGAAGGCTGCCTGCTCCCCTGCAGGGGAGAGGGATCTTGTCGGGGTTGGGAATTGGGGAGCCGCGGGAGGCCCAATCCAGTCCTCACCTCCTGCTTGAACTCAGCGTCCTTGAACTTCTGCTGCGTGGCGACAGTAACTTAGCCTGTCACCGCTGTGCTCAGTGCAGTCTCTTCCGGGATTCATTCCGTCCATTCAAAGAAGTCCCTGAGACTCACAGGTGTAGAGATCGAACTGACATTGGTGAGGGGGCAGGAGGAGGGGAAAGGTTAGGATCTGAGACGGACATGAACACACTGCTATATTTAAAACAGTTAACCAACAAGGACCTGCTGTGTGGCACACGGGGCTCCGCTCAGTGTTATGTGGCAGCCTGGGTGGGAGGGGAGTTTTGGAGAGAATGGATACATGTGTATGTACGGCTGGGTCCCTTCGCTGTTCTCCTGAAACTATCACAACATTGTGAATTGGCTATACCCCAATACAAAATAAAGTTAAAAAAAAAAAAACAACAACAACAAAGCCCCTTTCAAACCATCTGTGAGTTGAAATGCCTGGCTTTTTGCAGGAATTCAAAATCCTAACGGAGTCAACTTCCACAGGAGAGATGCAGGGATTGCCTACTTTCCTCTCAGCTCGACTTTTATCTTCCCCATGACTCCAGGGGACCTCCTGAATTTTGTGCAGCTTAATTCACAATGACAGACATGGTTTCTGGAAAGCTGAAAACAGGGAGTGTTCACCCTTCTCACTAGAGAACTCAGGTGACTGCTCAGACACAGGCAACCTTCCTTCACCTCCTCCAGGGGACAGAAGTCCCAGAGGGGCGAAAATCGAGGGGGCGCCAAATGGAACAAGCGCCTCTTCTCTTCCAAGCCACTGCCTCCCCCGAAAGGCGTGGCTGCTGGTGGGAATGCAAACTCATACAGCCGCTATGGAGAACAGTGTGGAGAGTCCTTAAAAAACTGGAAATAGAACTGCTGTATGACCCAGCAATCCCACTCCTGGGCATACACACCAAGGAAACCAGATCTGAAAGAGACATGTGCACCCCAATGTTCATCGCAGCACTGTTTATAATAGCCAGGACATGGAAGCAACCTAGATGCCCATCAGCAGACGAATGGATAAGGAAGCTGTGGTAAATATACACTATGGAATATTACTCAGTCATTAAAAAGAATACATTTGAATCAGTTCTAATGAGATGGATGAAACTGGAGCCCATCATACAGAGTGAAGTAAGCCAGAAAGATAAACACCAATACAGTATACTAATGCATATATATGGAATTTAGAAAGATGGTAATGATAACCCTATTGCAGGACAGAAAAAGAGACACAGATGTATAGAACAGACTTTTGGACTCTGTGGGAGAAGGTGAGGGTGGGATGATCAGAGAGAATAGCATTGAAACATGTATATTATCAAGTGTGAAATAGATCGCCAACCCAGATTGGATGCATGAGACAAGTGCTTGGGGCTGGTGCACTGGGAAGACCCAGAGGGATGGGACGGGGAGGGAGGCGGGAGCGGGGATCAGGAGGGGGAACACATGTAACTCCATGGCTGATTCATGTCAATGTATGGCAAAAACCACTACAATATTATAAAGTAATTAGCCTCCAACTAATAAAAATAAATGAAAAATAAAGACGTGGCTGCATTTCCATGGAACCCAGATCAAACTTAGCATTATGTGAATGTGTACTTTATGCCAGCCACTTCACATAGTTCCTTGCATTTTCATGTTTATCATGAGAAATGGAGTATTTCCTGCCATATCTATCAGTAAACAAGGATGTCAGTCATTGAAATTGCAGCCCTCCAGTGTTAGCTGATGAGGGCACTGGGGAAGAACACCTGAGATCTAGCAGCCATCAGACCTGATGTGGAGAGCTAACTCACAAGGAAAGACCCTGAGTGAGGCTGGGAAAGACTGAGGGCAGAAGGAGGTGACAGAGAATGAGATGGTTGGATGGCACCACCGACTCAGTGGACATGAGTTCGAGCAAATTCCAGGAGACAGTGAAGGACAGGGAAGCCTGGCGTGCTGCTGTCCACGGGGTCACAGAGTTGAACACAGTTTAGGGACTGAACAGCAGCAGTCATCAGAATACAGCTCCCCCCCTACAGTGAGCCCCAAGGAGGCTGAGAACGGGAGAAACACAGGATACTGGCCCCAGACAGCTTAAGTGCACATCAAAGGAGTGATTTCAGTGATCCCAGACTCACATCTTCCAATATAGACAAAAGTGCTAAATTCCTTAACTTGGGTTATCTGGTTTCTTTAATTAACAATAATCTTTTGATGTTCAGACTACCTGCCCTTTGTTGCAAAACTTCTATATAAACTGGCTTCATCCCCTCACCTCCTCAGAGCAGTTCTCTGAAGTCCTGAAAACTCTCAGGTAAAACATAACTCTCACCTTTTAGGTTGTGAATATTTTTTAAGTCAACAATCAACAGCCTCAATGAAGCAGATATCATTATCTTTTTTTTTTTTTTACAGAGGAGGAAACAGATATGAGATTTAGAGAAATAAAGTGAGGTGTCCAAGACCCTAAAGCTAGCCAGCAGTGAAAGAGGAAATCCGAATTTGTGCCCAAGTCTTTGCATCTCTCATGCTCATATTCCTTTCCCAGCCATGCTATCTTCTCCAGCTCCGACATAATTCACAGTGTGCTTTTGAACAAGATAGCCTCTCTGAGCCTTGGTGTCCTTGTCTATGAAGTGGGAATGGTAAGTCTTGCTCCCCAGTGTTCTTGAGAGTTTCAGAAATGAGATCCAGCAGGTAAGCAATTTAGCATAATTCCTGGAACATAAATGTTCAGCGAGTAGCACCAACTTCTGTTTTCTAGCAGCAGCATTCAAGCTTTTGACGGTAGGGTCAGATCACAGAATCTTCCAGCTAGATGCACCTCAAGACTACCTTTTACAGTCCCCTCATTTTACAGATGAGGAAATAGAGGTCAAGGAGTTTAGGTGAACTTCCTGTGGTCAGGCAATGTGTTAGTGACAGACTGAGTCCATGATCATGCTCTTGCAAGTACAGGTTCAAATGCATCAACCTTGATTTCTAGAAAAAAGAAATGTTTATATCTTTTTCTCTGAGCATCTTAGCTGCATTCCAGGCTGTTCAGGGTTTTTGTATCAAATCACAATTGAGAAAAAGTTGTAAAGGAAACGCAAATGTAAGTCAACACTCCTTGACCTATGGTTCTCAATATGAGGTCCCTAGATCAGCATCACATAGAAACTTGTTACAAATACAATTTCTTGGGCCCCCACCCCAGACCTCCTGAGTCAGAAACTCTCTTAAAATGGATCTTATAACAAACACTTCATTTGAAAATACTGTATCCATCAAATATACCAAGAACAGACTGTTAAGAAAAAAAGAACAAGAAAGAGCTTTTGAAGACTTAAAATGAGGGCCAAAATGAAAAAAACGTAAAGAAGGGCTGGAAGGATAAGTAGAGGAAATCTCTCTTAAAAATGAAATAAAAAGACAAAGAAATGGAAAACAGGATAAAGGTAAGAAAATTAAAGAAGCAATCAGGACAGTAGGTTGGGAGGGTCATCTGACTGGTAGAGAGATCACCATGGGAGGAGTAAGGTTGGGGAGGAGGAGATGGGTCTTGGCCCTGGGACTAACAAAGGTTTGCAGGTTGTGGAGCTGAGGAGGAACTGGCAAGGCAGACTGAGAAAGAGCAGCCAGAAAATTTGGTGTCCCAGAGGCCAAGAGAATGGAGAATTTCAAAACTGAAGAGGTAATCAGCTGTGTCAAATGAGTGAGCAAGAGGGATGGGCACTGCTTCAA